TGATCCCAGCACTCGGGAGGCAGAGGCAGGCGGATCTCTGTGAGTTCGAGGCCAGCCTGGTCTACAGAGCGAGTTCCAGGACAGGTCTTGAAAAAAAAAAAAAAAAGATAGAGTTCATGGGGCTGTGTAAGAAGCTGGACTGCAGGCGTGGTGATGCCCACCTTCAGTCCCAGCACTCTGGAGGCAGCAGGCAGCCTGCTCTACAGAGTGAGTTCCAGGCCAGGCAAGGAAGGCCACACGTAGTGAGACCCCACACAAGAAAGAAAAGAGAGAGGAGGGAGAGCAAGAGGAAAAGCTGGGCCTGGTGACAGCCTCTAATCCCAAATCCTAGCTGACTTGGAGGCTAAGCCATGAGGGTTGCCAATTTGGCTACAGAGTAAATCCAAGGCCAGTCTGGGCAATTCAGTCAGAATTCTGTCTCACAATAAAAAAATCTTAAAAAACAAAACGAAACCCTTGTCATAGGGGAAAAAAAGGACCTGGGGTAGAGCTCAGTAGTAGGTGCTTACCTAGCATGTGCAAGGCCCTGGGTTCAAACTCCAGCACCACACAAAATGTGTTTCCTGCTCATCAAGGCCATCTCTCTCAAGAAGCCTTCTGGCTGCTCCCCTTTATTGTCTTTAGATGTTCCTCCTCTGTGTTCCCTTGCTATCCTTTTTTGGGGGGATAGCCTCCAACTTCTGGGGTTATAGGTGTGTAATACCACACCTGTTTCAGGCAATGGTGGGGATCAAATTCAAACAGTCACGGAGGCTAGGCAGGAATTCTATCAGCCGAGTGTATCATCAGCGTAGGGACACCTCTTGGCGGTCAAGAATGATGGGAATACTGGACAATGGGATCTTTGTACTAGTTTGTGTTGGTAGAGCAGAGAGTAGACGGTTGACGCAGCTGTCTAAGATGAGAGTATAAAGTCAAGAGGAACAGGGGCTCACCCTCAGCCAGCCCTACCCCCATCTCAGGGAGTCAAAGGGCAGCCTGTGAGGAGAAAGAGGAGAGCATGGAGATAAACACCACAGAGAAACCACGCTCTATCAGGGTAGCTTTAAGGAAGAAGGAAGTGCTCACAGTGCACCAGCTGAAGAGCAGAAGCTAAGCAGGGACCACTAGGTTTCACCGTTCGGACGCTGGTATCTTGGCAGGGGGGGGAAGGGGGAGAGCTAGATTGCAGGTGCACGGGAAGGAAGCGCAGTGCTCGCCCTGCACGAGGGCTCGCCGTTCACGAGCGTGTGTTACAGTGCTGGGCGTGCGTTCTGCCACTCCGCTACACTCTCACTCCGTGAGGTGGTGTGGGGGGAGGAGGCTCTGAGATGCACTTAGTTCTATCGTTCAGGGACGAATAGACAGGCCAGATGGTGGCTTAAGGTAGAACGACACGTGTCCTTCCCCAGGCGAGTGTCCACTCGCCAATGCTTAGCAGAATCAATATCACATACATACAGTGTAGTATCAAATTTAATGTTAAAAGTGTATTGTGCTCTTTTAAGGCAATGATGACTAGATGGAAGCCAGGCTTCAGCCATGCTACCGCGGGAGAACACATTATCTGTATGTGCTGGGCAGTAACTGGGTGAGCAGAGACAGCACTGGTTATCACATGACCACAGGCTGAGAGGGAAACAAGAGCCAGCAAAGCTCCTTCCATTCTCTGAGGAACAACCAGAAGCTTTGGAAAGTATCTTGTCAAGAGAGGAGTGCAGCCGGGGGTAGTGCTCACACCTTTGACTTAGCATTCGGGAGGCAGACGCAGGTTGATTTCTGTGAATTGGAGGCCAGCCTGGTCTACTTAATTCCAGGCCAGCCGAAGCTACACAGTGAGGCTCCTCCCTTGACTCCTCTACCCCAGTATGTTTTAGGAACAGGCCCAGGAGCCTCGATAGAGCTCTTTTGTCATGCAATCAATGTGGCCCAGATGTGTGGGCCTCACATCTGCAGAGAGCTGCTTTTTCCTAAGAATCCTGGTGGTCTCCTTAGTCCTCATAGAATCTGCCTTGCTTGTCTGCTTTACAGGGGATGAAGCTGAGGAGTGGAGAGAATTAAATGACTATAGCCAAATTACTCTGAGGCCCTTTGCTGTCCTTAATGACTTCAACATTGCCCACGGGGCCTTCAGAGCACCAGGCTAGCTGAGGAGCGATGAATCTAAAGAGAACAGGGTTCTCACACCCCCTGTTTTAAGGGCTCTAAACTTCTGTCAGTCAGTGATGCAGGTCTGGGAGACTGGGGCAGGAGGATTGAAAGTTTAAATCCAGGGCTGGTGAGATCGCTCAGTGGGTAAAGGCTTTTGCTGCCAAGCCTGACCCGTAGTGCAATCCCCAGAGTCTGTATAGTATAAGGAGTCTGCACCAGGGTGCACACGGTCTCTCTCTCTCTCTCTCTCTCTCTCTCTCTCTCTCTCTCTCTCTCTCTCTCTCTCTCTCTCTCTCTCTCTCTCTCATACACACACACACTCAAATAAATAAATGATTTTTTAAAGAACCAGCACCCCCAGTCTAGCCTAAAACAATGCTACTCTTTTTTTTTTTTTTTTGGTTTTTCGAGACAGGGTTTCTCTGTGGCTTTGGAGGCTGTCCTGGAACTCACTTGGTAGTCCAGGCTGGTCTCGAACTCACAGAGATCCGCCTGCCTCTGCCTCCCAAGTGCTGGGATTAAAGGCGTGCGCCACCAATGCCCGGCCCCATCCTCTCTCTTGATACCCAACTTTGTACAGTTCAAGACGGGCCAGGCTTGGAACCTGAAGGCCCAGTTTCTAAGCTCACACTGTCAGCCTAGCTCTGTGACCTTAGTTACATCAGTGTCCTGACGAAGTTTCTTTATTTGAAAAGGGAGGACAGTAAGAGCTATGCTGTAAGGATGCTGCAAGGGCCCAGTGAAAGGCTAAATGAGGCCCTGCGTTAGGTTAATTGTCTGTTTCTGCCATCGTGAAAAATCTTACTGCTGTTCAAAGGAAAAGCCCCCGGTTTCATTTTGCCCTGGGCCTCAGCAAATGATGTATCTATCTGGTCTAACCTGTATGTTCACAGCCAAATCTATATTTAACCTCCCTGGGTGCCACAGTCTGTAATTAGCTGATTGGAACTGTTAGGAAAGAAATGGCTAGGGCAATCTTCAGACCTTCCTTCCTTCACACCGCAAAGTCTGGCACTAAGCTTACAGGGGACACCGGTGCCCCTGAACTAACCACCCTCCATCTGTACACCGGCTTTTCTGGGCTCGTCCCTTGGCTGTTCCGCTGGCTGTGCTCTCCTCCCCCTGGGGCCGCACATTCAAACTCTGCTGTGCATCTCCCCCACGTCTTCCCCTCCTGGAAATGACAACTCCATTCCCCCGCTGTTCAGACCCGAACCCTGGTCTTTGCTTTTTCAACCCACACCCCATTTGTAAGTTAACGTAGCCACCGTGTTATTTTCTGACTACCCCTTCACCACCACCGTTGAAGGCCAAGCTGCATCATCTCTCTCAAGGATCATGGAAATGCTCTTCCGGCTGCCTCCCTTCTTCCCCTTCCCAGCCCTCGCAGGAGCCAGAACTGCCCTTTAAAGTCGGGAGCCCATTTGCCTTAGGCCTGTGCTCAGACCATCCATGGTGACCGTCCCCCTCCTCAGGCCCTCTTCCTGGGAGGCCTCTAAACTGTCATCACCCCGGCTCTCCTTCCTCCCCAAGTCAAGCCTCACCCTCCCACATTACATAAAGATAGCAGCCATCAGCCACCATGACTGTTCATTTATTCTCTTTTTTAAAACCTTTTTTTTTTTTTTTTTTGGTTTTTTGAGGCAGGGTTTCTCTGTGGCTTTGGAGCCTGTCCTGGAACTCACTCTGTAGACCAGGCTGGTCTCGAACTCACAGAGATCCACCTGCCTCTGCCTCCCAAGTGCTGGGATTAAAGGCGTGCGCCACCAACGCCCAGCCAACGCCCGGCTTTAAAACCTATTTTAAATGTATTCTTTGTGTCTTTCACGTAATCCCTCCCAATCTCACCCATCTCTCTCTCTCCCAGAATAAAACAAAATGAAATTTAAGAGGAAAGAGGGGAAAAAAGGGGGAGAAAGGGAAAATCTCATCATGGAAGCTGCAGTGTAACAGAGTGAGTTGTGAAGGGTTTTTTTTTTTGTTTGTTTGTATTGTTTTTTACGAGGCAGGGTTTCTCTGTATTGTTTTGGAGCCTGTCGGTCCAGCCCAGCCTCGAACTCACAGAGTTCTGCCTGCCTCTGCCTCCCGAGTGCTGGGATTAAAGGCGTGCGCCACCACTGCCGGGCGAGTCGTGAAGTGTTAAACCCCTTTATCCAGATGCTTTGGGTGTGAGCCTAACTTTAACGACTGAGCCCTCTCCCTAGCCACCTCTACCGTGTATTTTTCCACGCAGGTGTCCATCACAAAGAATCACGGGTCTGGTTCAGGGCTCCCAGTCTGCCCTGCACCGTCAATGCGGGGCCCCTGCCTCTTTTTCTTGTACCTGAATTCCTGGCTATCATTGTCATCGGGTACACCGATAATTACTTGCTTTCTGCCCCACCCCAGCCCCCAATGCCTTTTTTTAAAAACAGGGTTTCTCTAGTCCTGACTGTCCTGGATCTTGCTCTGTAGACCAGACTGGCCTCAAATTTACAGAGATTTGCCTGCCTCTGCCTCCCGAGTGCTGGGATTAAGGGCATGTGTAACTGGTTTTATCTCTTAAAAACTGTAAACTATGCTGGGTGGTGGTGGTGCACACCTTTAATCCCAGCACTCGGGAGGCAGAGGCAGGTGGATCTCTGAGTTTGAGGCCAGCCTGGTCTACAAAGAAAGTTCCAGACAGCCAGGGTTACACAGAGAAGAGAAATCCTGTCTCAAAACAAACAAACAAACAAACAAAAACCCCATATATAAACAAACAAAACAAACTGAAAACTACATAATGTCAGGAGCTTTTTTCTTTTTAAATTTTAAACAGGTCTCACTAGAAGCCCAGGATGGCCTTGCTTTCCAGCCTCCTACCTCAGCTTCCTGATAGCTGGGCATTGGATGAATGACAATAGAAAGAATTCTAGAATGGCTGCCTTATGTAATCACAGCAGTCAAGCGGTGCCTGTCCGTCCGAGGAAGCTGTCCCCACACACTGCAGTGTGAGCACTTATGGAGGTGACTGGGGCCAAGCCTCCTTCAAGATCATGCTATGGGGACAAACAGGTGACTCAAGACTGGTACCTGCCCATCTTGCCATTCTAGGTATTTGCCTAGAAGAAGGGTTTGGGTGCATATGCACATATCTCTAGGATAAGGCAGCTTTTGTTAAAAAGATCTGGTCTTATAACTAGAATGCAGCCTTTCACATCTGGCAATAAAGCTAGACTTTTCTATAGACAGAGGGACCATAAATTAGGCTTGCAAAACAACAGTGTGGTTATTTCCGTCCCAAATTCCCGCTCTTGACTGCTTATCACACCAGAGACACCTTGCCTGCCTTCCAATCTAGATCCCTCCAAAATGTCTCCTCTGATCTTCCCCACCCAGCACCACCCTCGATTTGTTAACTTGAGACTCCACCCTCTGGAGGCTGTCTTCACACAGCTTCTACATACAAGGAAAGTGGAGCCAGAATGGTCTAGGGCAGTTGTCACGGGGGCACAAAAGGTCTAAGTTCTATTTCCTTCCAGTAAAGATGTGTCCTCGGGCTGGCAATATGGCTCAGTTGGCAGAGTACTTGCCTAGCATTCATGAAGTCCTGGGTTCCATTTCAGCACCAAAAGGGCATGGTGGTGCCCACCTGTAATTCCAGTACTCTTGGCACTTGGGAGCTGGAGGCAGAAGGACCAGATGTTCAAAACTCATCCTGGGACACATTAGACCCTGCTTTTAAAAGCCAAAAGCATGTCCTCTGTCCCTTTTGCGTACTCAGAGCTCAAGGACTACATTGTCCACTTCTGCAGACTGACAATTTGCTTAGAAGGTAGCACAGAGCAGACATCCTGTCTAGTCTGCTGCATCACTGGACAGGGGTCAAGAGCTCTGGGGAAAATCTCATTGATAAATACCTCTGCCATCCTCTAAAGGTGTTCTCAGAAGGATTCTATAACACTCTTGTGTTGAACTGCCACCTAACTATTAAGAATTAAAATATTTGGTCAGGCAGTGGTGGCACACACCTTTAATCACAGCACTTGGGAGGCAGGGGCAGGCGGATCTCTGTGAGTTTGAGGTCAGCCTGGTCTACAGAGTGAGTTCCAGGACAGCCAGGGCAATGGAGAGGGGGAAGGGAAGAGGAGAGAGACCCTGTCTCAAACAAAACAAAAGCAAACAAAAACCTCACAGCATTTATAATTCTGGGCTAGATTATAAAAATATAATTTTCAAAATTATATTGAGACCTTTAATACTATACATGAAAAATCCAAAAATTTTAAGAAGTAAATTATAGAAAATACCTGTTATTATTCTCTACGAGGTTCCTCTGACTAGCATCCCCCTCAAAAGTTACCTGAACTTTTAGTGGTTTACATAAGAGAAAGATCAAGGGACTGAGAAACAGAAGGAACATAAATCTTGCTCGTTCAGTACAAAGACACAGTTTAGTGGCAAGGACTTTGGTGTTTGCTAATCATTCTCAATGCTCTTCCGTATGTTGAAAATCTTATTCCTTAGCTAGTATGGTGACACACATATGCAATCATAGCACTCAGGAAGTTGAGGCAGGAGGATTGTGAGTTGAGGTCTGCCTGGGCTGATTAAAGAGATCCTCTCTCAAAGCAAACAAGAAAAAAAAAGTAACTAGCGTTTGGCAGATGAAGTTATAGTTTAAACTCACTAAGAAGCTGATGTGCACCACCACAGTCAACTGACCATCACCTCTATAAGTGTCTTTTTTGTTGTTGTTGTTTTTTGAGACAGGGTTTCTCTGTGGCTTTGGAGGCTGTCCTGGAACTCACTTAGTAGTCCAGGCTGGTCTCAAACTCACAGAGATCCGCCTGCCTCTGCCTCCCGAGTGCTGGGATTAAAGGCGTGCACCACCAATGCCCGGCCTATAAGTGTCTTATATGCACATATAATATAGACAAGATATGTACATACATGTGTACATGAAGAGAGATGATGGCAAGGGAGGCAGAGAGAGAAAGAGGCTCTCATGTAGCCCAGGCTGGCCCTTCGCTCCATATGTAGCTGAGGCTAACTCCTTCTGCCTCTACCTTCCAAGTTCCGGGATGACCATGTGTGCCACGATGCTGGGCCCACACTGTTATTAGTGAACAGCTAACCTTGAGGTGCAGCGTGTTAGATACCAAAAGTAGCACTTGTCAGCAAGGCATACTGAGGTGTCTGCATGGCTGAGGAGATTTTACCATGCCAGTGCTCTCGTTTCTGGGCTCCAGGTCTGCGCTGGCTCCACTCTGTCTCGAACTAGGGTGACTCTGGAATGCAAACCTTTTCCTCGAAGCCTGGCTGCAGAACACAATGGACCCTGTGTCTCCTGACCTTGGCCTCTGTGTTCCCTCCTTGGTTGAGCCATGGTCCCTGTGCCTACTCCTTCATTGGTCTGGTGATCCATTGGAGAGAGAACAGCTCCTTTGCCATTTCTGGAACATAACGCCATGTTTTTTCACTCAGAAAAGTTTTCCATCTTCCCCTGGGTGGATTAACAGTGGGTTTCACCTGTCGTTCTGCGTGGGTGAGCCCAAGTGTAGAAATTAGCTTTGGATGCCCAGTTAGCACTGTGTGTCTATTTACTGTCTGTTCTAGGGAACACAGCAAGGTTTGCTAATAGTTTGCAACCAACGAAGGTGAAAAGAGCCATACCCAGGAAGATTAATCAACAGCTAACCCCACATGGTCACTGTCATAAGAAATGTATGAAACAGGCAAGAGAGGGACTATTTACTCATTTTGCAAACAGAAGCACAGGAAAGGGATGTGGGTTGCTCTGGGCCACTGAGCTGGTCAGATCCTAGACCCAGAATTCTTTCTATACTCAGCCATCTCTATTCATGAAAAAGCCACCCCTCTGGCCACAGCCTGGAGTGCACAGCCCCCAGGCATTTGATGCCTTAAAAAGGAATCCAGGGACATGCTGGTGCAGGAACCCCATGGCTGCTGGGTGGGGGGCTGCATATGCCAGACTGTGCCAGAGGGGTTCCCTATATGAATATCACGTTTGCAAGATGACCAGCACCAGCCCGGCCCCTTCACACCTGCGCAGTCTGATAAACAAAGTGGATTTGCCCACAGTCGTGGTCCAGCCAGATAAAACTTTTAGGCGGGAAGTGACAAGCACATTGGAGTGCTTTTTTTTTAAATGTTAGTTTTGACATTTTAAAAAAGCTTTTAGGGTGCTTGCGAAGTCAGAGCGAATACTGAGAGGGCGTTGTGGCAAGATGGATGTGGAGAAGGATGGGTCTCGTCTGCAGCTCCTCCAGACACCCGATCAAAGTCACCCAGGGAGAGCGCGCATCCCAGGTAACCACAAGCCTTCAGAGGGGTGGCTTCGGGGACACATTCTTTTCCTCTTTTATTTGTTGGGGATGGGGCAGATAAAAACATCCATGGCTGGGGATACAATGGGACACAAGATGGCCTGTGACGGGCTGAGCTGCATGTTGGTGCTAAGAACCTAGGGGTCTAGAGAAACACAAGGAGCAGTAAACACACTGGTGGTGAGAACTTCTCTTAAATGAGAGAGAGCGGAAATACCCAGGACACTCCTCTGTTCTGTGAGAGCCAGCTGGCAAGACTCTGGAAGGATATGTGGACAGAAGCTCCCCGAGGGCCTGATCCCTCTGAATGCTCACTCTTTTGGCTCCTAATTGATCTAAAGGTCTGTTCTGAATGTTTTGTGGAACCTTAGGCTCTGAGATACCCTAGGGCACTGTTTGAAAACTTTCAGCTTCTGATAACCTCACTTTCCTTGAAATAAAACAAAAATTGAATACATGTGATTATGAAGGTTATCATTGTATTAAGATAGTTATTAACATTGCTAAAATTGTGATCTAGTGAGGTATGTGTTCATTTATAGCTGCATTAAGTCATGTAATACAGCAGTGGATCAAATAAACACAGCATCAAATCCAGCAGATCCATATCCACAAGTAGTCACTATAGCTTCATGCAAGAATTGTAGTGTCATATAGGAAAAAATTCTGTAATTTAATTGGATGATAAAAGTGCCACACTGCTTAAAACCATTGTGGCTTTTACTTACATTTACACTTTGAAGGAGAATGTGAATTTAATTAGAATTTAGTAAAATTATTTATTTTTCCTTATCACGAATTCTTGAGCTGCTAGGTGGTGGCACACGCCTTTAATCCCAGCACTTGGGAGGCAGAGGCAGGCAGATCTCTGTGAGTTCCAGGACAGACTGGTCTACAGAGTGAGTGCCAGGACAGCCTCCAAAACAGTACAGAGAAACCCTGTCTCGAAAAACCAAAAAAAAAAAAAATGATGGGATCATGGTATGCTATCATAACTACTTTGTATACTATATGGCCTGGATGCAAATAGGGAATGCAATGAAAATAGGTTATTATGTCAAAGATGACAGAAAATGACCTAGTTTTTCTTTTCTTTTTTTTTTTTAATGTTGGTTCTCTTTTTAAAAAAAAATATTTTATTTATTTATTGTGTATACAGTCTTCTGCTTGCATGCCAGCAGAGGGCACCAGATCTCATTATAGATGGTTGTGAGCCACCATGTGGTTGCCGGGAATTGAACTCAGAACCTCTGGAAGAACAGTCAGTGCTCTTAACCGCTAAGCCGTCTCTCCAGACCCTAGTTTTTCTTTTATTACTTGTACAAATATAAATTTATTTTGATTAAGTAAGTAAGTCAATAGCACACTTATGAACAAATACTATCTGTGTAGGTCTCTGAGCTTTTCACACTCAAATGCTCACGAAATGTCTGCTCCACTGGGTGTGGGGGGTGAATGCCTCTAATCCCATCACTCCAGGGGCAGAGAAAGGTTGGATCTCTATGATTCTGGGGCCAGCCTGGTCTACACAGCAAGTTCCAGGACAGGAGTACAGTGTGAGACCCCCCCCCCCAAAAAAAAAGAAAAAAAGAAAAGCAAAGCAATCTCTTCCACATTCTATGAAGGTGAAAGAGTAAGGAAGGCATGGTCCTTGATCTCAAAAATCAAGGGCAAAAACCAGGATGGGGGGGGGCATCTAAAATTCTGCAGGAGGCTGGAGAAATGGCTCAGCAGTTAAGAGCACTTGTTGATCTTCCAGAGGACCTGGGTTCAATTCCCTGTACTCACATAGCGGTTCCTAACTATGTCTAACTCCAGGTCCTAGGTATCTGGTGCCTTCTTCTGGCCCCCTTAGGCACCAGGCATACATATGGCACACAGACAAAACACCTACACGTATGAAATAATAACATTTATAAACAAAACTTCTGCGGCAGGATGCTTGCTGAGGCCACACTCACATTTACTGGGTCATTGTCACACTTGCCAGTAACTTTCCATTTTCCCCGGCAGAAGTCATTGGAACTTGGAGTTTGAGAAACAGAGAAGAACTCAGGAAGAGAAAGGCTGAAGCCCAGGAGAAGCAGACGTCACAATGGCTCCTTGGGTAGGTTCCTTACCGGAGAGGGATGGGTGTGGAAACTGCATGCCCATGCTCACACCATCTCACCAAGGGTCCTAAGTCAGGTGGTGTTTGTGCCTGTGTGTTTATTTTTTGTTGTTGTTTGCTTTGAAAGTAGTCTTCAGCTGGTTAACTCTCTTGCCTAATGACTCAGCAGTAGTAATGACAAAAGAAACTTCCCCTGCTTTCTTTCTCTGTGTTTCCACCGTCCCCTGAGACAGACGAATTCCAGGCACTGAAGCTGGACTGTCCAGGGTAGCTCCTGCTACCCTGCATTGGTTTTGTTAGTGTTAAGACGTTGGTGGCACATGTCTTTAGTCCCAGCACTCTGGAGACAGAGGCAGGCGGATCTCTGTGAGTTCGAGGCCAGCCTGGTCTACAGAGCGAGTTCCAGGACAGCCTCCCCCCACAAAAAAAAAAAAAAAGAAAAAAAGGGTGCACAAAGCTTGACTTGGTAGTGCACACTAATCCTAAGAATCAGGAGAGTGGTGGTTGGACACTGTGAGTTGTAGACCTCACAGGGCTTAGTGAGAACACAATTGACACACAAAAACAAGCAGCTCAGCGGTCAAGAAAGAGAGCTCCCAGAACCCACATGGTATAGATGTACATGCAGGGAAGCATTAAAATTAATTAGCCTAATGCCCCCAACTTCCTAGTCATTGACCTTGGTTGGGCAATGTACAGAACATCTCATGGTACCTCAGTTTGTCCTCTGTGTACTGGAGATAATAGCATCTACCTGATAGCCTGAGGTAACTGGAGTAAATCACAATAGTTCCAGAGACACAGGCAGGACACAGATGGCTCCCATAGTAATACCATAGCTCTGCCTTATACTATGTTTGTGATCTAGGCACCTAAGTTGTATGTGATTCTTACAGCCACCTCACAAAACGGGAAGATGTAATTTATCTCATCTCACCTATAAGGTAGCCAAGGTAGGGAGAGGTTGAATGACTTGCCCTAGTCAAGAGGAAGCGTGAACTAAACTTGAGGTCACTCCGATATTTTTGTATCTTTAAAGTAAATTTTAAATTATTATTATTTTACTTTTTTTTTGGTTTTTTGAGACAGGGTTTCTCTGTATTGTTTTGCAGGCTGTCCTGGAACTCTCTCTGTAGATCAGGCTGGCCTCGAACTCACAGAGATCCGCCTGCCTCTGCCTCCCGAGTGCTGGGATTATAGGCATGTGCCACCAACGCCCGGCTATTTTACATTTTATTCTATCTGCTTGAGCATTTTGTTTGCATGTGTAGACACACCCTTAACCACTGAACATCTCTCTGGCTGGTAGTTGGTTCTTATATCCACCAGGCGGGCACCAGCGATGAATCAGGCTTGGTGGCAAATAGATTTCCCCACTGAGACATCTCACTGGCTTGGTTTTGTACTTAAAGATTTATTATTATTTTAAAAACTGTGTGTGTGTAAGTGTGTGTGAAAGTGTGTATGAGTGTGTAAGTGTGTGAGTGTGAAAGTGTGTGTGTACGTGTGTACGTGTGTACGTGTGTACGTGTGTACGTGTGTACGTGTGTACGTGTGTGAGTGTGTGAGTGTGTGAGTGTGTGAGTGTGTACGTGTGTGAGTGTGTGAGTGTGTGAGTGTGTGAGTGTGTGAGTGTGTGAGTGTGTGAGTGTGTGAGTGTGTGAGTGTGAAAGTGTGTGTGAGTGTGTGTGAGTGTGTGAGTGTATGTGTGTATGTGTGCATGTGTGTATGCACATGAGGCCAGAGGTACATGGGACCCCCTGGAGCTAGCATTATAGGCAGTTGTGAGTTGTCCCATGTGGATGCTGGGAACGGAATTTGAGTGCTTAGCAAGAGTAGTATGTCCTTTTTAAGTGTTCAGCTATGTCTCCATGCAAACTATTTTTAAAGTCAGTTCCGTTTTACTTTATGTGGGAGTCAGTGCTCTCCTCCCATCACACGCATCCTGGGAATGAATCAGGTCATCAGGTTTGGCCATGAGTGGTGAGCCACCTCCTCAGTCCTAATCAAAATTTTAATTAGCTTGCCAAGCAGTGAGTGTCCATAGGCCTTTTGATACATTCTTAGGTTGGGTTAACACACTACCTCCTTCATATTAATGCATGTATATGTACAGGTACATGCATTCGTGTGTGTGTGTGTGTGTGTGTGTGTGTGTGTGTGTGTGTGTGTGAGAGAGAGAGAGAGAGAGAGAGGAGAGGGCGGGGAGAGGGGGAGAGGGGGAGAGGGGGAGAGGGGGAGAGGGGGAGAGGGGGAGAGGGGGAGAGGGGGAGAGGGGAGAGGGGGAGAGGGGGAGAGGGGGAGAGGGGGAGAGGGGAGAGGGGAGAGGGGGAGAGGGGAGAGGGGGAGAGGGGAGAGAGAGAGGAGAAAGGAAGAGAGCCAGCCAGAAGACAACCTTCAGGAGCACCATTCACCTCCTTTGAGATAGGGTATCTCATTGGCCTGGAGTTAGGTTCAGCTAGCTGGCCAGGAAGGTCCAGGGATCTCTGCCTCTCCAGTTCTGAGATCACAAACTCATGGCACCACACTATATTTTTACTTGGGTGCTGAAGATAGATAGAACTCAGTTAAGTCCTTTATCCTTGGAACTATCTCACAAAGCATAATCTTTATCTTCCCCTCCTCCTGCCCTCCCTCACTCCATTACACACACACACACACACACACACACACACACACACACACACACACACACACTTTAGCTTTAAAACCAAAAAGTGTACAGGAACACTTCCCTAGCAAATTGAACACCTAGGACTGTTCATTGTGCAAACTCAGAAATTGAGGTATGTGGAGAGTAAGGGCTTGTTTAAGGTCATGTAGCAAGGTCACAAGGACAGGCGTGGGTGTCAGAAGCATTCATTTGGATCCCGTAGCCCTGTTGCTGACATTAATTCTGGTCTCTCTGCAGAGAACAGAAAAAACGCAGGTATCAGAGAACAGGAAAAGGAAACCCAAGAGGCCAGAAGAGACGAGGAAGTGCAGAGGCAAAGGCAGAGCCTAGGTCACAGACAGGAAAGCGAAGGGTGCAGAAAGCATTGGTGCCTGCAGGGGAAGAAGCCGAGCACCCTGTCAATCCTGGGGCCGAAGCCCTCCCATTGGTGGGCTTCCTCCCAAAAGCTGTGCCTGCAGAACAATGTGCTGGAGCACAGCAAGAAAGCGTTCAGTGCCAGGACATAGCAATACAGAACCATCCTCAAGCACACAGACATAGGGCCAAACCTGAAGACCTCTCTCCTAACATGTGCCAAGAAATAGCTGTACTTCAACACTGTTCTAAAATGTGCAGAGACACGGCTCAACCTGAGGTGCTTTCTCCTGAAATGTGTCGGGAAACAGCTGTGTCTCTAAACCATTCTTCCAAAGCACCCCAAGCTATGGCGAGGCCCGAGGTGCTCTCTCCCGAAGCTGTGCTTCAAGAACATACTTTAAAAATGTGTGAAGATGTGGCCAGACCTGAAGTCCTCGCTCCTAAAACACACCAAGAGATGTGTGTTGTTCCCTGGCCAACACTTGGAGATGCTGCTGGCCCAGAAGCATGCTCTCCTGAAGCACTCCCCCAGTCAGATGTGCCTGAAGGCTGTCCACTGGACACGTACCCCAAATCAGCCACACCAGAGAAAATTATTTCCCAAGAAGATCAGGGAATGGCTGTGACTGATGGCTGCTTTTCCAAAACACAAGAGTGCACTGTGTCTGAAGACATTTCTACAAAAACACACCAAGAAGTAGTTGAACCTGAATTCACGTCTCATAAGACCCACAAGCTCACTGAGTCTACAGTCTCCTCTCATAAAACAACTCAAGACTCACCTGGGCCTGGAGAACACTCACCTGAGATATACCATCCATCACCTGGGCCTAAAGACTGTCCACCTGAGACATGTCAACCATCACCTGGGCTTGAGAACCATTCTCCTGAATCCTGCCACGAAATGCCTGGGCCTGGAGAACACTCACCTGAGACATGTCAACCATCACCTGGGCTTGAGAACCATTCTCCTGAATCCTGCCACGAAATGCCTGGGCCTGGAGAACACTCACCTGAGACATGTCAACCATCACCTGGGCTTGAGAACCATTCTCCTGAATCCTGCCACGAAATGCCTGGGCCTGGAGAACACTCACCTGAGACATGTCAACCATCACCAGAGCTTGAGAACCATTCTCCTGAATCCTGCCACGAAATGCCTGGGCCTGGAGAACACTCACCTGAGACATGTCAACCATCACCTGGGCTTGAGAACCATTCTCCTGAATTCTGCCATGAAATGCCTGGGCCTGAAGACCTCTCGATGAAGACCTATGAGAACAGAGATGGACCTAAAGACTGCCTTCCGGAACCAAGTCACGAAGCAGGTGGTTCCCAAGGACAGGACCCTGATGCCTACCAGGACAGTGAGAGTGCTTGTTCTTTCTCTCAAGGTAGGGATTCCTCAGAATTTGTCATTTAAAGCCGTCTTTGACAGTAGACAGTTACCTCAATGGGAGCCATGACTATCCCTGGATCTTTTCAAGTAAAATGTATTTTTCAGGCAACCAACTTTCTGTTGTCACATTTCCAAAAAATTTAAATAATTGAAAATTCTATTTACCCATTTTGCGAAACTATAGTAAGAGAAACAAACCTGGAACAGGATTAATTATGTGCAGAAACATGTTCTTTTTGTTTTTTGAATTAGTACTTACTATGTAACTGTGGTGGCTGGTTTTATTGTTTGAAAGCAAATTCTGGTTCTCTGGAAGAGTAGCAAGCACTCTTAAGCACTCAGTCATTTCTCCAGTCCTAAAAAGATATCTCTCTCTGTCTCTCTGTCTCTCCCTCTCTCTCTCTTTCACACACACACACCTCTTTTAAGACACAGAATCCTGAGCTGGGGTGCTGGCACACACCTTTAATCCTAGCACTGAGATGGCAGAGGTGGAGGCAGAGGGGCAGAGGGACAGAGGGACAGAGGGACAGAGGGACAGAGAGGCAGGCAGATCTCTCTGATTTCCAGGTCAGCCTACTTACTGAGTTCCATACAGATGGAACTGCATAATGAGACTCTGTCTCCAAAAACAAAACAGAACAAATGGGCAAATAAAATTCACCTTGGCCTGGAGGAGGAGGGCTTAGTGGTTAAGTACATATACTGTTCTTGCAGAGGACTTAAGTTTGGTTTCCAGCACCCATTGTGGCTTATAACTGCCTGTAAATCTAGTTCCAGGAGATCAAATTAATGCCTTCCTCCAGCCTCTAAGGGGTCCTGTACACACCTGGTGCACACAAATGAATGCAGCACAAAAATACACATAAATTAAATCTTTAAAAATAGCTCTTTATAAAAAATGAATCCCACTGGGCAGTGGTGACACACACCTTTAATCCCAGCACTTGGGAGGCAGAGGCAGGCGGATCTCTGTGAGTTTGAGACCAGCCTGGTCTACAAAGTGAATTCAAGGACAGCTAGGGCTACACAGAGAAACCCTGTCTTGAAAATCAAAACAAAAATCCAAGGTTATAAAAACACCATTTCCTTGACATGGCATTTTAGTATTTAAGTATCAAATCCAGCTGAAGTGTGAGTGCATTGTCTGTGCCGTGGCCTCTCCCCCACCCCAACTGAGTAACCAGCTGTGTCAATATTGTTCATTGAACTTAGTTTGTGTTTCATTTGCTTTTACAGAACTGAAGGAAAAAGCCAAAGCAGATCAAGATCCAGAAACACCACCAAGTCCACAGGGTCCTCAGGAGATCTGTCCAGAAGATGACACCTATAGCTATGTTCTATTTTAAAAATACTCAGCGATGAAGTTGCAGTCCACCCAAACCAGAATACACATCTTTGCTTGTATGATTTTATGGAAACATTGCAGCAATTGCTACAATTTGCATTACTATTTCAATTCGTGTTTTTTTCCATGTAGATTTTATCTGAAAGACAGAACTAATTTTTTTTTTTGGTTTTTCAAGACAGGGTTTCTCTGTAGCTTTGGAGACTGTCCTGGAACTCACTTTGTAGACCAGGCTGGCCTCGAACTCACAGAGATCCACCTGCCCCTGCCTCCCGAGTGCTGGGATTAAAGGCGTGCGCCACCAACGCCTGGCTGACAGAACTAATTTTTAAAGGCTCTAACACACCGACCTGTGTGTGTGTGTGTGTCTATGTGTGTGTCTATGTGTGTGTGTGTGTGTGTGTGTGTGTGTGTGTGTGTGCGTGCGCGCGCGCGTGTGCTCGCGCGCACACACACACGCACGCACGCGTGCCCTGCGGGTGTATATCATATGTATATAGGGGAAGATGGCAGAGGGAGGGGTGAATAAATCAGGGGAAGTGGTGAGTAGTTGATTTTTCCCTCTAAGAAGAAACACATATTTGGTGATTCTGAGAAGATAAATTTGATAGGAACACTTAATATTTTGAAAGTATATAGTTTCTTGTGATTTTGTCAAGTATTGATGTTGTAATATCAGAATTTTATTCAAGTTTTAGATGGCTCTCTGAGCTAATCTGAACATTTTTTTTGTTTTGTCTCATTTTTTGTGTAACAGCCCTGCCATCCTGGAACTCACTTAGTACACCAGGCTGGCCTCAAACTCTCTGAGCTCTGCCTGCCTCTGCCTCCTGAGTGCTGGGATCAAAGGCATGCACCATCACCGCCCAGCAACAATTCTTATTCTAGAACTTCTTGCAAAATATTTTGGAATTGATAAATGTCACTTACTTCTGTGTGTGAATCTGGAACTTCTATTTCTATTTTTCAACTGCATTAGTGAAAATGTACATTAAATCACTACTATGCACTAAGCTGTGTTACCAAGACAATGTCGTGATATGTGCTGGAGTGGGGTGGGGTGGTAAAACACCTAGAAGGCAAGCCATCTTTGTTCACTAGGGTTTAATCTGGTCTCACAGAGAAACAGGAAACAAATCATCCGAAAGAAAGCAGTGAGTGTGGCAGCTTCCTCTCCAAGGAGTCTATGCCCTGGCGCTTGGCATGCTTTCCTTCCTACGAGAGTGCCTCTCGTTCTCTTAACCTTCATACCTCAAATGTGGAATAAATGTCATTAGTAACCTCCCCCAAAGGGAACGGTGCTGGTGCCGTATGAACAGCACATGGAATGCGAAGAGTGCTCACCTAACCCGATGTGGAGACTTGAAGGACGGGAAGCATCGGCACAGGACACTCACGGCAGGACTGTTCAGGGTCAAGGGAACTGCATGCCAATGATGGCAATGTCAGGTCCACATGGGCCAGTTGATTTATGTTAGAAATCTGTCATGAGGCAGCTAATCTGTTATTGGAGTGTAGAGTCCCACCTGGACCTGGAGTTAAAGGAGGCTGTGAGAAATCCGACATGGGTACTAAGAACCAAACCTGGAAACCTGGGTCCTCTTTGAGAGTAGTGTTATTTATTCTTCCTTTTTCAAGGACTCATTATGTAGATCCAAAATGACCTGGAACCAGCCCAATAGACTACGCTGGCCTCAAACTCAGAGAGATCTGCCTGCCTTTGCCTCCTGAGTGCTGGGATCTAGAGCATACACTACTATACTACTACGCTGGGCCATAGAAAGCAGTCTTAACTGGCTGAGCCCTGGGTGTAGACTTGTAGACTTAAAAGGAGTAAGGCTTTTCCATAATGAAGTTGAAGTTTTTGTATTTCAGGACTTCATCTGGTTACAATGGTCACAGTGAACTGAAAATGACAGGAGACCAGAGGCAGGAACACACATGATTCTGGGTGGAAAAATATTTGAAAATATTCCCTGGTATCTCATTGATTTGCATTTTCCTTGGGCTATCACTGGAGACTAAAAATAAGACAGACATTGGCAAATAAAAGCTCACTCAGTAAGACCATGTGCTAGGTTCTGAGGCTGTATCAAAAAGGCAAACCCACCCCTCACTGAGAGCCTGTGAGCATACAGGTGCTCAGGACTCAGGGTTCTGCCTGGGGTGACATCTAGGCATGGGTATATTTGCTTTTTGAATGGCCTATGTTCTAAGGTCCTAAATAGTTAAAATTTTATGTATGTTTCCCAAATGTACATCTGTGCACCCACAGAAGACAGCAACAGACCCTTTAGAACTGCACTTCTGGGGAGTTATGCCTGTCCATGAGTGCGTTGGGAATTGAACCTAGATCTTCTGTAAGAGCAACAAGTGCTCTTAACCACTCAGGTTTTCCTGTTATCATTTATCGTTTTGAAGACATAGTCCAGGCTGGTCTGAAACTCAACTTGCAAGCATGTATCATCATGCTTGGCTTTATGAAGTGCTAGGACTTGAACCAAGGTCTTTGTACACACTAGGCACTCTTCCAACCTAGCTACATGCCCAGTCCACTTTTTAAAATAGTATGTGTGTGTTCTTGGATATCAGTGAGTTGTGTGGGTTCACGGGCGCCCATGTGATGTTTGCCTTCCTCCACTGGTCTCCATCTATGTTTTCAGGCAGGGTCTCTCACTTGAACCCAGAGGTAACACTTGATCTAACCAGCTTGTTCTAGGAATTGCTCGTCTCTACCTCCTGCAGACCACTATCCTACCCAGCATTTACATGGTGCTGGTACCCAAGCTCCAGTCCCTCACTTGCGTGGCAAGGGCCTTACCCAGTGAGCCGACTCCCCAGCCCCTTGTCCTGTTTCCCTTCACCATTCCCTATAACTTCATACTATTTTTTTTTTTCGAGACAGGGTTTCTCTGTGGGTTTTTGGAGGCTGTCCTGGAACTTGCTCTTGTAGGTCAGGCTGGTCTCGAACTCACAGAGATCAGCCTACCTCTGCTTCCCTAGTGCTGGGATCAAAGGCGTGCGCCACCAACGCCCGGCTCATACTACTTTCTTAACTACATCTAGACACCCTGTGAATCAAGTTATTACTGTGTTATTGTTGGTTTAGAGCTTTGAGGCCATGCATTAGAATTCCCCAAGAATCCACCGTAGTTCCACTTTGAGCTGCTGCCTCCTTGTGGCAGGAAGGAGCCTGGGTGTGCCGGGGCTACATCTGAAGATTTGAAAAAAAAAAATTGTGTTATGTGTGGCCCTGGCTGGCCTCCTACTCAGAGATCAGGCCACCTCAGCCTCCCTACTGCTGGGATTAAAAGCAAGAGCCGCCAAGCCCGTCTTTTAATTTTGTGTGTGTGTGTGCAGGTGCCCGTGGAGGCCAGAAGAGGGCACCAGATCCTGTGCAAGTGGAATGACTGCCCGATGTGAGCTGGGCACCGGGAATCCAGCCTGGATCCTCAGAAGTGCTTTTAACTGCTGAGTCATTGCTCCGCTCCCCCCCCGTTAGTTTGTTTTTAAAGACAGATTCCTAGGTCTAGTGTCTCCAAGTCTGCTCTGAGTTTCAATAGTTGGCACAACTGGTACTTACACTTTTGGTATGGTTATCAAGACCATGTCTTTCTGGAGGACAAATGCCTTTTAGCGCCGACTAGTGGCAGTTGCGCGTAATCAGCTCATTTTTGAAGCGTGCAGATTTTGCCCAATGGTTCTCAAACTTGTTCCTCCAGTTAGACCAGTATCTCCCAAACGAAAAAAGGAAAAAAAAGGTCTTTTGCAAGTTTCATGTACAAAACTCCTGATAAAGGACACAGTATCAGTTTTAACTCTTAGAAAAACCCACAATTTCCTCTTTAAAACCCGCCTCTTAATACTGGTTATTTCCTACTAGTGTCTTGCTAGTCAGTGACAACGAATTTAGAAGGAACTGCTTTTCTTGGTTAGGCTTTAATCTGTAGACTTGTATATTTTTAGCATCTATGGTACAGGTGATGTGAGGTGGATCCCCGCCCTGCCCCCCCCAGCTTCTTTCTAAACCAACAAGATTTTGAAATGTCTGAAACAATCATGTATGCAAGGGTTTGGTTGAAAAGACTCTTACAAGCGGTAAAAGCACAGGCAGTTGGTGCAGGGACAAGTGGGTATTGCACAAGATTAAAGTACAATTCTTGCTGGCCCCAGCTTTCCGATGTGCGCGCTGCCTCTTTACTCTCATTTTGGTTTCGGTGGTTTGGGGCCCAAGAAACGTCGTCCCCAATTATTAACTCCTCGCCTACGCTGACTGTAACATGCACCACCTTGATTCTCTTGGGATTCTTTCCCGACAAATAGCTATTACTGAAAAAAAAATGGAGCAGGGTGGTAAACATAGCCCTCGCCCAAGAAGGATTTTAAACATTTAACCTCCAGTTCTCCGGCTCTGTGGGTAACACTGAAGAGCCGAGTCTGATTCCCGGAGCCACGGGTGATAGGAGAGAGCCGGGTCCCGCTCTGTCACCGGACGCACACATAAATGTAAAACCAAAACCCCGACCCCAGTCCCTTTGGCGTGTGATCACTGACAGCCACACCAGCTCCCTGGGAAACTCTGGGTCACCCTCTGGCCGCGGGGTCCGCTCCTAATTCAAGGGAGCATCTCCGGAGGGCACACTGCAGGCTGTCTCAAGGGCGCCAGCGCCGCTCAACGCTGGAAGGTGAGCCGCACGCACGGCTTCCCCGCGCCCACGGAAGGCGGCCTCCAAAACCCGGCACCGAGCGGCTACTGCGCAGGCGCCCAGGCCTACGGGGCGGAAGCGGAAGTGGAGAGCCGCGCGCGGCGCGTAGACGATTCCGAGGCTCGCAGCCATGCGCGGCGTGGCGGAGCGGCGGCCTTGCGCGCCTGCGGCCCCGTGCGGGTGTGCTCAGCCCGCCCTGGAGACAGGTAAATCATGGGAGGCCGCACGGCCTGCGCCCGGAGCGGCGGCATGCTCAGCGGCCGGCTTCCGCCCCGAGAAGAACGCGAATTGACGGATGGGTGTTCCCGTCCTTGCCGCCAAAGTGAGGGTCATGTGTCCCCGCGATCACGTGACGTGCCGAGGCCAACGGGAGTGACGTCTTACGTTCTTGGCACGCGGGGGTGTGGCCTGGCCTTCGTCCCGGCCCAGCAGCTTGCTTGGTCACGTGCGTCTTATGGTCTCTTAGGGAGCTGCAGGGAGCTTGGACGTGGTGGCTGACGCTGTCATTTGGCCCTAGTTTCCTGTCTTTAATCCTCTTCCACGGGATCATGGATGAGGATCAGAAAACAACAGCAACAACAACAAAAAAATCAAATAATACAGCAGTACCCGAAAACACACTTAGAAAAACCGTGAAAGCTGTCGGAAACACACACAATATAGAAGGGCAGAAAAAGCCAGTGTCGGAAGATGGTTTACACTGTGGTGTCTGCTTTTGTAGAATTCAGAGTAAATGCAGTGTTGTTTAGACTCAGAAGCACATGTGGTCAGATTGGAAGGAGGCAGATGGTGACGAAGCGGCCTGCAGAGATGTGAGCAGTTAGTGGCTCTGTGGTTGGGGTGGCTGCTGGGTGTATCATACTTCAACTTACATACATGCTGCATATAATCCTTTCTGTGTATAAGGTTTTTTTTTTTTGTTGTTTCGTTTTTTGTTTTTGTTTTTTTGTTTGTTTGTTTTGTTTTTTCGAGACAGGGTTTCTCTGTAGCTTTGGAGGCTGTCCTGGAACTCACTTTGTAGACCCGGCTGGCCTCAAACTCACAGAGATCCGCCTGCCTCTACCTCCGGAGTGCTGGGATTAAAGACGTGTGCCACCAACGCCCGGCTCTTTTTGTGATTAAGTAATAGAGTTTTTGTAAATAAAAAGCAAGGAAATGTTCAGTGAGAGACAATCTGTGATTTGTGGACTTACTGGTTGTGCTAATAAGACAGATTTTTTTTTGTTTTTGTTTTTCGAGACAGGGTTTCTCTGTATTGTTTTGGAGGCTGTCCTGGAACTCACTCTGTAGACCAGGCTGGCCTCGAACTCACAGAGATCCGCCTGCCTCTGCCTCCCGAGTGCTGGGAATAAAGGCGTGCGCCACCAACGCCTGGCATAATAAGACAGATTTAATATAAATGAGGTAAAATGGAGATCTGGAATGTCTCGTCAAAGAACATACAAGCAAGTAATTATAAATATAAATTATAATTTTCTACCTCAGCATATGATCAACACATTTGTTATATTAAAAACAACTTATGTGATTATGTAGTTATAAATAAGAATTGAGGTGGGTATGCTGGCACACAGTTGTGATTCCAACAGCTGGGGGATGGGACTGATGCCAGAGACTCATGAGTTCAAGGCTGGCCTGAGCTACTAGCAGGACTCCGTATTTAAACATGTTTTTAGTGGTTGTGTTGTACCTAGACTTTAGAACTATGACATCAATACAAAACGTGTTTTCTTACATCTTTGGCCTTTTGAGTAATCTTATCCAATTTTCTTCCATAGGAAATCTTTTAACTGAGCCAATAGGCTACTTGGAATCATGTTTCTCAGCCAAGAATGGTACTCCAAGGCAGCCATCCATTTGTAGGAACTCCAGAGCCTGTTTGAAGATCAGAAAGAGCATCTTTAATAATCCAGAACATTCCTTGATGGGCCTAGAACAGTTTTCTCATGTTTGGTAAGTTGTTTTGTAGTTAGAAGTGTAGTTTGGGCACTGAGAAAGTATGTCAGTTGAAGGCAGCTTTGGAGGCTGCCATCATTGTCACCCTTATCGGTATGATTATGGATTAGGTATGGATTCTTTTACCCAATTTGATTGTTTGCGTATTTGGTTTTTTTTGTTGTTGTTGTTTTGTTTTTTGTTTTTACGAGACAGGGTTTCTCTGTATTGTTTTGGAGGCTGTCGGTCCAGCCCAGCCTCGAACTCAGAGAGATCCGCCTGCCTCTGCCTCCCGAGTGCTGGGATTAAAGGCGTGTGCCACCACCACCCGACTGTTTGCGTATTTGGAAAATGTTAGCATACTACATGGCAAACAGCAGGCACTTGGGAGTGGTGTTCACTTGGCCATGTACAGTCTGATAACTTCCTGCCGTATGCCCGTCTTTGTGTTGAGTACGGAGCATGTGGAGATGCCACTCTTCCCACAAGGACAGAGGGAGGACTCATTTTCTGTGACTAAAAAATTCAATAGAAACTATTCTTTCTGTTAATTAGTGGGGGATTACATTCCCTTCTGAAATCATTGTGCTAAAATAACTTACCCTCTTCTTAAACAAGTGGTTTGGTTTATTTTCAATAGGATTTTGTTTGTTTTCCACAAAAACGGCCATTTGAGCTACAAGGCAAAAGTGCAGCCGCCAAGGCTGAATGGGGCAAAGACTGGCGTGTTCTCCACAAGGAGCCCACATCGCCCTAATGCAATAGGACTGACCCTGGCCAGACTGGAGAAGGTGGAAGGTAACTCCCTCATTTCACTCTGGTGATGCTGGGCAAGGGGAAGGTCGCTCACTCACTTCACTGATGCTGGCCTGGCCGCGCTGGGCAGGGGAAGGTCGCTCGCTCACTTCTACTTTGACCTGTCCTGTCTTACCCTTTTTTTTCAAGACAGGGTTTCTCTGTGGCTTTGGAGGCTGTCCTGGAGCTAGCTCTTATAGACCAGGCTGGCCTCAAACTCACAGAGATCCACCTGCCTTTGCCTCCTGAGTGCTGGGATTAAAGGCGTGTGCCACCACCACCCTCCTGTCTCACTCTTAAAAGTCTCATGAAATCAGTTTAGAATTCACTGTTAGCTGCTGTTCATGTCCTCAGACATGTAGGGATGTGCCGTGGTTGAAAGGGTGTCAGCACTGGAAACACTGCAGACCAGCTCTTAGAAGGTGCTCAGAGCTTTTTAACGCTCTGCAATAAAAAAAATCCAGTGCTGTTTTTAAAGACTCATGCATTGTGTGGTCATTAGATTAGTAATAGCATTCTTTAAGACTTGGGACGTAGGAAATGCAAGATGGTTAAAACCTGTTGACTGTTTTTGGTTGCGATGCAGAGTGCCCCGTTGTACATGCATTTCTGGAAAGCAGGAGAAGAGTGGCGTCATTCCATCTCTGTGCAGCCGGAAGGAGAGAGGCATTTGGGCTGCAGTGTAGGCCATCCGCTGTGCGGTGTTGGTGGCCTGGGATGTTGCATCACATGTAGAATATGGGATTGGTTTCAACTGTGCTCAGGTGTGACCTAGGCAGACGTTTTCAGAGAGCCCTGGCTTTTGTCTTGTTGTTTTTGATACAGGGTGTCAGGTATCCAGGTTGACCCTCAAATCCATATAGATCCATAGGACCAAAGACGTCCCTGAACTTCTGTGATTACACTCAGTTTACATGGTGCTGGGGTTGAGCTCAGGGCGTAGTAGGTAAGCATTCTGCCAGCTGAGTTCCACCCACGCTCACAGAGCGTCTCACTTTTGAATAACGGACCAAGTTTCTGTTGGAGAGGCAGAAGATGACAACATGGATTGGAGTAGGGAGCCCGTTCCAGGCTGCATCTTGACCACATGCTCCTGAGGTGGATGGAAGCATGGCGCCTGCCTCTCTGACTCTACAGCGCTGTTGTTGCTGAGGATCGTACACACCGGGTCTTCAGTGCTCTTCAGGACCTTGGGCTAACTAGTCAAGAGGCTGTCTTGTTCTTCCTGGGCCCTGAACTCTGCCGAATTGTGCTCAGTTGTTTGGTTGGTTTTCAGCATACTCAATTGCTTCTCCACCTGGTTCTTAATTTGGCTTATCACATTGGACACCAGCACCAGAACATTTTCTTTCTTTTTTTTTTTTTTTTTTTTTTTGGTTTTTTGAGACAGGGTTTCTCTGTATTGTTTTGGAGGCTGTCCTGGAACTCGCTCAGTAGACCAGGCTGGTCTCGAACTCACAGAGATCCATCTGCCTCTGCCTCCTGAGTGCTGGGATTAAAGTTGTGTGCCACCAGCACCCAGTGCAATTGTGTTTTTCTTAAATAGAGTCACAATCAATGTGAGCACATGCTGTGTTTTGGTTCTCATTCATTCAGTGTTCCAGAGTCAGGAGAGGGAGACTCCGTGCCCGTAGCAGGAAGTAGACAACGACTCTGCAAGTGGGCTGCTGGAGAGCTGGCTTAATATTTAGTTGTAGGGTCTTGTGCCCTGCACTTTTTTGAGTCTTCATGGACGTATTTCTGGCTCTGTGTAACAAAATGACCCAAAGTATATCCTTTATGCAGCACACATTGATGGTGTGTTTAAAACTTTTCCAGGGGTCAGTGGGATGAGCTCTTCTTTGCTGGTTCTCTGGAGTGAGGTTGTTATAGAATTCATTTCCTCATAGGTGCAGGACTGAGGGCCCCACCTTTGTGCCTGTGTTGTCTGGGGGCACCCTCAGGTCCTGAGCGCTGCCCGTATTTCTAGGGCATCTCATGGCTGCTTGGCACCTGGGCTTTCCTAGTCTGCCTGTGCACTTCACGGGGCTGCAGCGAGAGTCAGTCAGGTTGAGTCTGTGGCCAGCAAGGAGACCTATATGGAAATCATCACTGGAGGGTATCAGAACTCTTTTGCCATATTTTTTGGCTTAGATTAAGTTGAACTCAGAGAATGGGTTACACGGGGCATAAGCACCCCGTTGGGGAGCATGTCAGGCCCCCTAAAGTCTGCTTGCCACATTGGAAACACACATTGGTCTTGGTGACATGCTGAGATCTGGCATGAACCTAGGAGTGATGCAAAGATGAGTAACCACAGCATGTGTTCCGGGAGCCCTGCTCACTGTCAAGGCACAGAGACATCGGTAAGCCATTGTCCTTCTGTATGAAAAGGCTTGAGTGGAGGTTTATACACTATGCCTCCGTGGAACCCAGAAGAAGAGCCAGGAAGGTTTGTAAGTGATGCGTTCTGTGTGAGCCTTGAGGAGTGGGAGCTTGGCAGGTGACGGTGTGTTTTCCAGGCAGAATAGTGTAAGTGGCTCAGTGAGGTGCGAGCAGGTGTTTGGAGAGAGACTTAGGGGATAATCTATCCCCGTAAACACATAAGAGGATCTTTATCCCCTTCAGGTGGCGCTGTATACCTGTCTGGAATTGACATGATACATGGCACACCTGTGCTGGACATCAAGCCCTACATTGCTGACTACGACTCACCGCGGAGCGAGGAGCCTTTGGGGGCCTTGAATGTGCAGAGTAACCACCACCAGCTGAGGCCTGCATCCCAGTCTGATGGCACAGCTGACACTTGTGACCAGCGGCTGCTCTCAGGGTGTGGGAAAGCCCAGCAGGGCCCAGGCACTGAGGAGAACCTGCAGTGCCTTGAAGACAGAACCGCAGAAGGAAACTCCCAGAAGTCCAGAGACAGTGCAGAAGCCCCGCACACTTTGCTTGAGGATGGAGAGAGGACGGTCGGTTTGGCGCTGGAGTCAAGCAGAAGTGACGGTATGGGTGTGGCTGAAGAGCAGGTTGGCCCACAGGACCTGAAGAGCTTTCTGGACGAAGGCACAGAGAGGTCAAGGAGCATGGACCTTGCCTTGGTCCCGCAGGGGAGCAGTGCAGGGACACCGTGGCCTTCCTGCCATGCCGGGACAACTGGCAGAGTGACCTGCAGTGTGGTCCCCACCTGGGTGAAGGAGGCCCCTGCAGCCTCTTTACACGTCCGGTTTACTCCTCATGCAGAGCTGGACCTGAGGAAGCTCAGTCCAGGAGGTAAGCTAGGGAGCCTGGGGTCTCCTAGGCCCGAGGGAGAGATGGGCTCTCCTTCCTGTGTTTCGTATTGGTTCTCACTGTGCTGGGGACCAGAGCCTGGGCATGTTAGCTACGGACCCAGTCAAAGACAAGCTTTTCTTCATAATGAAATCTGGCTAGGATCGATACTTCTGAAAACAGTTATATATGGAATATTTGCCAGTGTGACTGTTTTTTTTTTTCTTTGAGACTGAGTTTTCTAGTAGCTGTGGAGCCAGTCCTGGAACTCTCTCTGTAGACCGGGCTGACCTCAAACTCACAGAGATCTGCCTGCCTCTCTCTGCCTCCTGAGCGCTGGGATTAAAGGTGTGTGCCACCACCGCCCAGCAGTGTGACGTTTTACTTTTTTTTCATTCAGCAAGTGTTTATTGAGCATCCACCTGCTAGGGTACCAGGCCCTCACCCTCCTCACAGTCCTGCACTCCACTGTCAAAGATGGCCTATGGGAGGTTAGACTGGAGCAGAGACGTGAGCGCCAGGAGAAAGACCGAGGAACGGCTGAGGGAAGGAAACCCAAGCAGAGGGAGTCGCTGGTGCAAGGGCCCTGGGGTAGTAGTGGACAAACAGACAGCTCTGGGAAGAGGAAGAAGGGTCAGGGAAGACCAGGGAAGCTGCTGCAGGGGGCGGGAGACGCAGGCTGGGTTACAGGACCAGCTCACGTGGGCCAGGGGCAGGTGGCCTTTACCCAGGAGCAGAGGGGCCTGAGCAGATGCCGTGAGGAAGAGGATGTGAATGGAGGAAACTGGGGGGGACTACGAGGCTTGGGACCGGAAGAAGGGTTCACTTCCTGAAGTGCGGAAGGACCCAGAGGACAGACCTGTGACAGTGTGTCTCATCCCTGGAGCCAGAGACCACAGAGCGTGTCCTCTACCGTATCCTCATCGTTCTGTGGGCCAGGCATGGCTTTGTGGGGCTCCGCAGCAGCAGCCTGCACCTCCAGTCTGACCCCAGGGGGATCTGGATGGCAAGTCCCAGCACACCGTGGACTTTAGAAACCGGGGTAGCAATGCTGTGGCTGAGACCACAGTAATGTCCACTGTAGGCCCGAGGGACGACAGCATGGAGGACCCTGAGTGATCCTCCTAGGCCACCAGGATCACAGCTTCGGCTACTCTAGAAAGGATGGTGGGTCTCTGCACTCAGCACACCTCTGAAAGCAAGTCCCCTCAGAATCTGCCCAAGGGGAGCGTCCCACAGAACACCTACAGGGTCACCCGAGGCCTCTGGACCCTCGCTTTTTGCTGTCCCCATGTAGTACATGAAGACCCTCAGAGGCCGCCAGTTCCTTGCCTGCTCCAGGCCTCAGTTTCCCACTCTGTACAGAGCTAGAACCTCCACATGAGTTTTATGTCTTCCCATTCTTGTCAAGGGCGTCTCTCGGGAAGTCTCCTCCAGGCTCTCTGTTCTTCTCCTTGGGCACATCGTTGGCCCCATCACACCCCAGGAAGACAGCACAAGCACACCCAGGCTCAGAAAGAGCCAGGCACGCCCATCAGACCCAAGCAAGCCTGGCAGGGCCACCCGGCTAAGGCATCACTGGCGGGAGGTGGCAAGGCAGAGGCGGGGCCAGACGGTCCCGAGCTCATTGTCAATGTTTAGCAGGTCTGGATCCTGCTCCCTATCCAGGGCCACCATTACATTCTTGGGACTTTGAGGTACCCGAGCTTGACACAGGACTCTCACTTCCTTGTCGCCCAGTCTCCAAACTCAGCACTGACCTCACCTAAGGACTCCTAGGTTGGGCCGACTTTTTACTTTTTTTATAATTTATTACTTTTTGTATTAATTTGCCTGCATATATGTCTGTGTAAGAGTGTCAGGTCCCCTGGAACTGGAGTTTCAGACAGTTGTGAGCTGTCATGTGGTTGCTGGGAATTGAACCCGGGTCCTCTGGAGGAGTAGTCAGTGCTCTTAACCACTGAGCCATCTCTCCAGATTACTGCCCCCCTCAATTTTTCCCCCTTGGGTTTTTCAAGACAGGGTTTCTCTGTGTAGCTTTGGAGCCTGTCTTGGAACTCATTCTAGAGACCGGGCTGGCTCTGGGACCCTGCTCTCAGAGACTGCCTCTGTCTCCCGAATGCTGGTATTAAAGGCATGTACCACTGCTGCCCAGCTTTTTAAATAGTTTTTAAAATTTATGAATATGGTGCTCTATCTTGCTCTATCTGCATATACGCCTGCAGACCAGAAGAGGGCATCAGATTCCATTATATATGACTGTGAGCCACCATGTAGTTGCTGGGAATTGAACTCAGAACCTGTGGAAGAGCAGCCAGTGCTCTTAACTGCTGAGCCATCTCTCCAGCCCCTGGATTATAAACTCTGGGTGCACTATCACATGACCCTTTCTGTTTGACAGCTGTTTAGTTGGTGGTTAGTCCTGGTGCTCGGAAGGCATCTGTGGAAAGTGGCTGCTGCCTCAGGAGACACCCATGACCTGCACCCCTTATCTTTCATTCATTTAGTTAATGTTTATTTTATTTTAATCACATGCATGCATGCGTGTCAGTCTTGAGGGTATATGTTTTTGTAGGAGCTAGTGTAAAATGGGGAGGTTTTGGATCTCCTAGAGCTGGAGTTACAGGCATTTGTGAGCTGCCCAACATGGGCAGTAAACACCAAGTTCAAGTCCTTTGTATGAGCAGCAGGTGCTCTAACCACTGAGCAGTCTCTCCTGCTCTACTTACTGCCTTTCTCTGTTCTCCTCTCTAACAGTATTCAAATTGTGGGTTGTGCGTGGTCTATATTTGGATATGCTCAGTTTCTTACCTGTTTCCTTCTGTCAGGGGACCCCAGGATCTGGCAGGGAGAGACGCCCCTCCTGATATAGTGCTCCCCACAGGAATGCCCTTCCTGCCACAGGAAGGCCACAGGGCTGCTTTGGAGCCCATTTAACACATGGCGCTTAGCATGTGTTGTTTGGTTCCCCAGTCCACAGCAGATGGAGAGTGAAGGAAGCTGGGAGCTGCTAAGACGTGGGAATGAGGATGCTAGCAAGAAAGTAGCTGGTTTCCAAGGAGATGGCAGACAGCCAGAGGGTTGAGCGGAAACAGCCAGCGTGGCCATGGCGAGAGGCACATGCGCTTGTTACGGTGCAGTGGTTCGCTGAGCCTCTCTCTCCAGCACTGCTCTGGCCTGTGGGAAAGCATCGGTGAGTTTGCCCTCTGATGGCTGGAGAGACGTAGGCTCAGGGCGTAGGAGGTCAGCCTGCTGCTGTGCAAAGCACGCGGAAACATACCCGTTAGAAAGGACTGGTGTCAGCACATAGGAGAAGGGCAGTGTAAGAGGCTGCATTTGGGAATAGACGGCAGAGGAGGCCTCACTGAGGACACATCAGAGCAGACGCCAGGGAGATGGAATGAGTCAGCTTGACCAGGGACTGGAAGCCAGCCTCTGGAGAGCCATTGCACAGTGAGAGGCCATGTCGCACAGGGAACTGATGAGGATCCCAGAGGCAGCAGCAAGGGTATGAGGCCACATGGGCTTATATGCCACTTAAAAACATTTGGCCTCTGAGCGAGGGTGGCGCACGCCTTTAATCCCAGTACTCGGGAGACAGAGGCAGGCGGATCTCTGTGAATTTGAGGCCAGCCTGGTCTACAGAGTGAGTTCCAGGACAGCCAGGGCTACACAGAGAGGCCCTGTCTCAATAAAAACAAAAAAGTGGGGCTGGAGAGATGGCTCAGAGGTTAAGAACACTGACTGCTCTTCCAGAGGTCCTGAGTTCAATTCCTGGCAACCACATGGTGGCTCACAACTACCTTGAATGAGATCTGGTGCCCTCTTCTGGAATGCAGGCAGAGGCTGTATATATAATAAATAAATAAAATATAAAAAACAATAAACAAAAAAGCCCCCAAACATACATTCATTCATTCATCGTGTGTGTGTGTGTGTGTGTGTATGTGTGTATGTGTGTATGTGTGTGTGTATGTATGTGTGTATGTATGTATGTATGTGTGTATGTATGTATGTATGTATGTGTTGCACTCTGTACACCATAGTACCTTCGTGGATTTCAGAGGAAATTGTAGAGTCAGTTCTTTTTTCCTACTTCTGGGTATTAAACTCAGGTTATCAGGCTTGGCAGCTGACACCTTTATTCATTGAGCTGTCTCACCAGTCCCTTAAAACACACACACACACACACACACACACACACACACACACACACACACACACACACACACACACACACAGAGACAGAGACAGACAGAAGAATTAGGTATTTTACTATGCATATGATTGTTTTGCCTGCGTGGGTGTGTGTGCACCATGTGTACGCTTGGTGTCCAAGGAGGTCAGAAGAGAGTGTTAGAGTGTTAGAGTGTTAGAGTGTTAGGTCCCCTGGATTTTTGAATGGTTGACAGCTACCACATGGGTGCTGGGAACTGAATTTGAGTCCTTTGCAAAACGAGTGCTCTTAACTAAGCCATCTCTCCAGCTGCCCGTATACACTTTATTTTTTTTAATTGAAGTATGTTAAAGAATGCATACACCTGGTAGATTTTGTCACTTGAAAGGATGACTGGGCCTCTGTGAGGGTGCCCGGCTTGCTTCTAGCGGGTATTTTGAAGTTTTGTCCTGGACTCCGTCTGTTAGGAGTGTGGCACTGCTTCTGTCCTGGACTCCGTCTGTTAGGAGTGTGGCACTGCTTCTGTCCTGGACTCTGTCTGTTAGGAGTGTGGCACTGCTTCTAGCAGTGGGGCTTGGATGCCTTGTTCTCCGTCCTTCCTCCTTCCCTCTGCATTAAATGACCTGGAGTTTTCTATGTCGATCAGGCTGACTTCAAACTCACAGAGCTGTGCCTGCTTCTGCCTCTCAAGTGCTGGAGTTAAAGGTGTCTGTGGTGGGTGGTGGGCAGCTTCGAGAATACTGGGAGTGCCATTGGTTTCCTTGACAGTGTCTTTTCCATGAAGAAATGCCAAGAGTTTCTAAGTTAGAGTATAGATTGAGCTTAGAAAGAATGGCATTTGGTGGACAGAAATGAAAGTTTGCCTCACCTGCTTTGGAAACCCGTGAAAAATGCACCTTGAGTATTTTGTTCCGTAGAAGAGAAGTTGTGGAGGTGCAGGTCTGTGAAGTGGGCAGGTCTCCAGACTGTTCCTTTCATGTGACGCGTGGAGCTGCCCGTTTCACGCTGCAACTCCAGGTCTGACTATGTGCGTGTAACACAGGCTGCTTTGTCGTTGCAGGTGCCGCTCAGGTGTCGTTTAGATACTTTGAGTCCACAGAGGAAGCCAAGTGTGCCATCGAGGCTGTGCTGTCTGCAGACCCTCGGTCTGTGTACCGACGGAAGCTCTGTCAGGACCGCCTTTTCTTCTTCACTGTCGACATAGCACACGTCACATGCTGGTTTGGCGACGGCTTTGCTGAAGTTCTGCGGATTAAACTGGCCTCTGAGCTTGTCGAGATGACTGACCCTGAGGAGTCCTTGGTGGCTCTGGGGTCTTGAGGAGCCCTGTTGTGTTTTTAGACAGCCTAGCTGACCTCTGGACGTACCTGCTTTGTCCTTTTACTGCTTTGATTGGTGCCTTTTGAAATATTTATTTGAAGGGAATAGTTTGGTTTTGATTTTGAGTTTCTGACACTGTTTTCTACGTAGCTATGGATGTCCTGGAACTCCCTTTGCAGACCAGGCTGACCTCAGACTCACAAAGATCCACCTACCTCTGTCTCCAGCGTGTGCCATCAAGCCTGGTAAGGACTTGTGTATTAGTAAACTTACCTGAGAGCTATATGATATAGAGAACTCACCGTGTACTTTGCTCCAATGCTGAAGACTCCCAAAGTGCTGCTGTGGGCAACTGCCTGAAAACACTCTTATTTGTTTGTTTGTTTGTTTGGCTGGCTTTTCAAGACAGGGTTCCTGGAACTCACTCTGTAAACCAGGCTGGCTTCGAACTAACAGAGATCCGCCTGCCTTTGCCTCCCGAGTGCTGGGATTAAAGGCGTGCACCACCACCACCGCCCATTGACACAGAACACTCTAACGGGTTTTCATGTAAGCTGATCCGTTCGTCATCAGTTCACATTGGCTTTTCCCACTCAAGAGCCTGACCTCTCTATTGTAAATCACACTGAGTTACAATGTCTTGGGTGACTAACAAATAAAACCAAGTGACTATAGAAATCTTTATGGATTAAATTCCTGCATTTGAGGGACTTTGTTACACACATCTACAAATAAAAAGTCTGAGCTTCTTTGAATATATTGAGTCAGAAAGGAAAACCATCCCTACCTCCAGAAAGTCCTTACTGCCTTGTTTCTGACATGACTCAGCTTTCGGTGTTAGCGTGAGCTGAACAAAACATGGGGCGGAATTCAAGGTGCGCTCTCATGTAGCCCAGGCTAGCCTGGAGCTCTCATCCTCTTGCCTCAGTCTCCTGGGTCTGGGAATAGCGGGCCTGTACATTTTGTGCCCCAAGCCATGGTTTGTGGAGGAAGTAGGCATAGTTGAGTTAGTGTATTACAGTCTGATAAACTAATTAACACTGCACAGTGTGTACCATGTAGGAAGTGATTATAGGAATGTATGGCCCGTAGGTGATTTTAATGAGATGGTCTGAGATAACTGAAGATTTATGATCGGTGTAGTCACATTAGCCGCCTGTCAACTTGACAGTCTTTCCTAATCACAGCTACAGATCTCAGAGCTGATTGATCATGGTTTGGAAAGGACCCCACAGCCTGTGGAAACTTGTCCAGTAATTGTGGCTGACGACATTCTACTCCTGAGCCAGTCTGCTTGGTAGATGTTGGTTGCCTTTAATGTTACTTACAAGGTTTCAGGACAAGATCTTACATTCAGTTTTTCTAAAATGTGTTTATTTTTTTAATACAGATTGTAAGAAGTTGTAAAAATAGCTCAGAGGTCCCTTCTAGCCTTTACCTGGTTTCTTCCAGTGGAAACATCTAAAAGTATATTACAGTATTGTAACTAAGACATTGACATTGATAGGGCCTATCTTTTAGTCTGATTCTGATGCCTTTTCCTGTGTGTATTTGTTCATGTGGGTGTATATTGTATGGATATGTGCACATGTGTGTGTGGAGGCCAGAAATGGTTCATCGTGGGGACTGGGGGACACCTAGGGGAAAGGTGGGGACAAGGGATACGAGGAAGGACAAGACAGGAGTCTGATCAAATCGACAACCTTTATTCATCCCAAAGGAATTTATATAGGGGAAGAGGGGAGGGGAAAGGATGGGGGCGTTAACTGCAGCTGCAAGGACGCTGGCAGGCAAGAGGGAGGGGCAGGTCATCCTGTGCCCTCTGGTAACCTATCTTTCACAGTCTACCCTCTATTGTCCAAGCTCTAGTGACTTGGTAATTTACTCTAGGCTGATAAGCTGCAAGTCTGTTTTCTCGGAACTTGCTTCCTATTTTAAGAGGTGGTATTTCTGCAGTGTGGCCTGAAGTCACGTCTCTATGAGGACGTGATGATGCTAGGGCTGGAGTATGGCGGAGGCCCTGACATACATACATACATACACACATACATAAATACACACATATATATGAAAAAAATCCAGGGCTACACAGAGAAACCCTGCCTCGAAAATCACCCTCCAAACAACAAGAAACCCCTAAAACAAAACAAAACAAAACAAAGCAGGGCGTTGGTAGCACACGTCTTTAATCCCAGTACCCGGGAGGCAGAGACGGGTGGATCTCTGTGAGTTTGAAGCCAGCCTGATCTACCAAGCGAGTTCCAGGACAGCAGGACAGGCTCCAAAGCAATACAGAGAAACCCTGTCTCAAAAAGCAAAACAAAACAAACAAAACAAAAAAACCACCAGATCCAATGTCTCTACAATTCAGAGAACTTCTATACAGTTAAAGAGTTAGCATTTGGAGTGGAAGTTGTGGAACTTCACATTAAGTTTTACACTTTCAGTATTGAATATATTTTATATCTTCTTTTTTGTGAGACATTTCATCATCTTGGAACTCACTATATAGGCCAGGCTGACCTTGAACTCACAGATATTTGCCTTCTTCTAAGTACTGGGATTAAAGGCCTGTACCACCATGCCCAGTTTAAATGAGTCCCATTTCCCCCCTCACCCTTCCCCAAGGCAGGGTTTCTCTTGTGTAATAGCCCTGGTTGTCCTGGAACTCACTTTGTAGACGAGGCTGGCCTCGAACTCACAGAGATCCTCCTGCCTCTGCCTCCCCAGTGCTGGGATTAAAGGCGTGCACCACTGTTCTGCTTGAGTATATTTTATACTCTTACCCACCACCAAAACACAAGATCTGTGACACAATTAAAACTAGAAAAACAAACAGCTTTACTTCCTCTTATATAATTCATGTGCCTTGCCTTTTTGAAATTTCTTTTTCACTATTTTTAGTTATGTGTGTGTGTGCATTCATACGTGGGTATTCAATATGAGAACAGGTCTCCAGGGAGATTGTGAGCTGTCTGGCCTGGGTGCTAGGGACTGCACTCTGATCCTCTATAAGATCAGTAGACGGTAATCATGTGTAGGAGTGTTTTGCTTGGGTGTGTGTATCTGTATCACACGCATGCCTGGCACCTGTGGAGGTCAGGATAGGGTGTGGATCCCCTGGAACTGGAATTACAGATGATGTGAGTGCTGTGTGGGCACTGGGAATCAAACCTTGGTCCTCTGCAAGAACAAATCCTGTTAACCACTGAGTCTATTAACCACTCAGTCTCTCTTTAAAAAAAAAAAAAACCTTTTTATTAGTTCTTTGAGAGTTTTATACATATTTTGATCATATTCATCTCTCCACGTCTTCCTTAGTCCACTCCTGCCTACCCACCCAACCTATGCCTTTTTTTTTTAACCCATCAAGATCCGTGCTGCCCGTCATTTTGGGTGTGTGCCTTCCATTAGGGCGTGGTTGACTTCTCAGGGGCTTTACTCTTACACAAAACTGTCTCTTCCTCTCTAACAGTTGCTAATAGATCCATGGCTAGGGATGGGATTTGATGCCTAACTCTCATCTCCATGCTGGGATTTGGAGGCTGGGGCTTGCACAAGTCTTCTATGTGCTGTTAAACCACTGTGAGCTCATGTATGCAGCTGCCTTGCTGTCTAGAAGATGCTGTTTTTTGTAATGATCCACGAACCTTGGGAGGACTGGGTGTGGCACAGATGTTCATTTCTCAGGCTGAGCGCCGGTACCCTCTTGTTCTCCGTTCCCCGGCATATAAAGTAGCAGGTTGAGAACAGCACAGATCTGTGTCTACACACAAAGACATACATTTTCCCCATCCACTCCAACCACACTTCCTCCCCCCACTCTCCCAAAGGAAGAGAAGGATGACCCTGAGCGGAAGAGGAGGAGGCGCAACAGAGCCAGCTTCACGCTTAGGGGGACGCTGTCTTTTCCTTGTGGTCTTGGGTACACTACACAGTCAGAGAAACTGCTCTAGTGACAAACTATAGAAACGACCCCTCAAAGTATAGTCTTAGAAACTTAAGTATTCAGAAGGCAGTGTGACAGCATGACCAGTTAGCGAGACAACAGTGCACTCCCAGTGGCCTGGGCTTTTGACTGGGCTTCGAGTACCATATCCCATGTTCTTTTTTGTTTGTTTGTTTTGTTTTTGAGACAGGGTTTCTCTGTGTAGCTTTGTAGACCAGGCTGGTCTTGAACTCACAAAGATCCACCAGCCTCTGCTTCCCGAATGCTGGGATTAATGGTGTGTGCCACCACCACCTGGCTGTGTAATAATTGTTTACATTCAACTTTGCAATTCACAAAACGAGTTTAAAAGTTCTACCTCACTTGGTATCTTGACGACATTTTAGACATGTGTCTGGGAGCTAACTTGCAGCCTGTCCACAGACTACTATGGCCATCAGTGGCTCAAAGTCTACTCTCCTTTTATACATTTGTTTTTTTCATTTAGTCACGTGTGTGTGCGTGTGTGTGTGTGTGTGTGTGTACATATATATGTGTAGATTCATACCCACAGAGGTCTGAGGACAACTTCTTGGAATGGGCTCTCTCCTAAGTGGATCCTGGGGATTGAACTCAGGTCACCAAGCCTGGCAGCAAGTGCCCTTACCCACTGAACCTTCTCACTGGCTCCCCCAAAGTCTGTTCTTTTTCTGGCTGTTGCTAAGATTGGTCCTTACATTGTCAGAGGAAAAATATAATAAGGAACTACTCAACCAGTGAAGCAAAAGAAAGTACACAGGACACAGACGGTTAACCAAGCTGGAAATACTTGGTGACTGGTCCTTCCAGAGATACAGGGGCCAATGACGTAGAACGATGATTCTCTGAAGTGGTGTTTGAGTTCCAGACAAGTTATTTGTGAATGAAGTTTTCATGTTGTCACATGAATGCTAAGATACTCTGTGATTGAAAAGGGTTTATATAGCTGGGCATTGGTTAATCCCAGCACTTGGGAGGCCAGCCTGGTGTACAGAGCGAGTTCCAGGACAACTTCCGAAACAATACAGAGAAACCCTGTCTCAAAAAAAAAAAACCAACCCCCCCAAAAAAAGGTTTATATAACAAAATTTGTGGAGTAAATAAGTTATATCTTATTTTTGTATTTTCCATCCATGTGTGCAAAATAAGGCTATACAAACGCATGCTTATACATGTGAGGTTGTTCTGGAAGGATGGACACATGATGGTGGAGATTACTTCTTTTCTTGGTGCTGTGGGTTGAACAGTGACCCTGCCAGCTAGGCAAGTGCTATGCTTCTGAGTCACACCCCTAGCCCAGTGGTGTCTCTCAGAGGAAGTCACCAGGAAAGGCAGTTTGCTATGTTCTCTACTGTGTCTACTATGGTTTTTCTGGCCAGGGGCACACATTATTTTTATATGTGGAATGTAAGGAAAATGTCCTCCATTCCAGTTGGAGTGGATCTGACGTGGGTGAGTGTACACTAACTCATTAGCACACTCACTCCTAAACCAGGCCTGGTTCACATCTGTAATCTCAGCACTTGGGAGGTGGGGCTGGGAGGTCAAGAGATTGAGGCTGTCCTGGGCTATATGACCCTGCCAAAAACCAACCGAACAAACAAAAAACCAGCCTGCTGGTGGCACACGGCTTTAATCCTAACATTCAGGAGACAGAGGTAGGTAGATCTCTGAGTTCAAAGCCAGCCTGGTTTACAGAATGAGTTC